ACAACTATTGTTAAAAAAATATTTATTATTAATATTATTATAAAATTTATATTATTATAAAGAGTTAATCAAAATGAACTAATTCTCAATAAATCCGCGCAAAAATTGTCTCTCTTATTTAATTTTCTTGCATTTTTTTCCATTTTTTTAATGTCGTTACAAATGCTATTTTGTACATGCATACGTGGTACGACGAAGCCATTTTCGCGTCAGGCTATGTTTGCATTTCGATCTAAGCTCCGCAGCAATGTAGGCTAATCACAGATTTGCCATTCCGCCTCGTTTCGTCATTACTTTTCTTTCGGCCCCGACAAGAGGTCTCTACAACCCCTGACTCTTTATCTTGCGTGGCTTCCATCTTTCCCTTGTACGAGTTCCACCCTTAACCCTTGACGTCGCGACTCCTGTCTATTGCGTCCCCGCCGATTGTACGACGTGCGTCATCGATGTCGTCGATTGTGAAATCTCGTTTATTTTTGGTACGACATCGTTGTCCGTACCGTAACTGCCTGGCGTGATTGTCATCAGCGACGCAAAACAATGACTAGATGATCGATGAAGTTTATAGAGATTTAAGCTTGGATTAATTTCGATATAAAAATAATTTTGAGATGAATGATTTTATTAAATATATACCTACATATGCATTAATTATAAATATCATACAATTATATATATAATTAAAAACACGCCATAAATTTTTCAAGTTCCTTTTATTTTATGTCAAACGTTAATTTATTTCCAACATCAGATATTTTAGACAAAATTATGAAATTTAATAAATATGAATATTTATTAAATTACCAATTATTATTTACCAGTCGGAGATTGAAAATAATTCATGATTACCCTCATCAAGTATCGCCTTTGGATTCCTTTGAGCTTTACGTCGAATGAAATATAAATTTTTTCGTGACGCACACACGTGTAATATATTACACGTTTATTTTTATTGCGGATAATATGAGCATATGGGTTCGGTCTCAAGACTACCAATAACCGTGTTCAAAAATTTATACATACTTCCTTTAGAGGAAACCCGACGTGCAATAAAAAGCTAAGAGCTCGCATGCGAGATTACATGTTTATGAGATATAATCTTTTTCTGAATTAATTATATCTGTGCGATTCATTAAAGCGATTTAATTGAGAGACTAGCAATGATTATGCATCATCGAAATGCAGTTGCAGCGATTCTTACCGGTACGAGCGAGACCTTGAAATATTGATTTGTTCGTTGAAGCTGATTTAATTGGCGGTCCGTGATAGAGTCCTCATCCATTAGAGGCTGTAAACAACGGCGGACATTAAAATGCACTTTTATTCACCGTTGGAAAAAGGAGCATTCTACTTTCTCTTCTAAAAAGAACTATCATGTATCATAATTTCAAGATAATTGCCACAACGTATCATTGTTAAATCATATAAATTTGTCAAAATTAAATATGTACAAGAGATGGAATAAAGCAGCTGTCTTATACGTGTGTTCAAAGTATTAGATAAGCATAGTAAATGAGACTGTGCGTATATTGTAATCTGACGAGAAATTTATGATTGTGATAAATGAGACAAGACACGGATACACACCACACACACGTGAGAGACTTGTGTTTACGTAACCACAATATGAAAACAGCAGTGACATTGCTTTACGCCTCGCATACTGTACATTCTATATATGAGAAATTTCCATAAAAGTTTAATTAATTTAATTCCGTAAAAAAATTTATGTATGTGCAAAAAGTGTGTGAGAAAGAGAGAGAAAAAGAAAAATATAATAGTAAAGATTATAGATATTCAATAAATATGCGCGATATGAAAGGCACCTCGAGGAGGAATCGCTTTATCGACATCGGAGGACTTTTCCGAGATTTCCAGTATCCTGGCTGTTTTGATTTATCGCATTCATCGCTTCCAGTCGTGCTCGACCAAACGCTTCAAATTTGTAACTCGCCCGCGTAATTAAGAAGTTCTGGTAGAACGATCGGGCTATATTCTACTGGCCTTTAATTGCGTCCGCGTGTACACGGGAGACACTCGTATATTCGCAAACGCGGAAACTCGAGTAAATAACGAATTCGCGATGATTCGTAATTCATAGCGCGCGCGACAGCAAATGTAATATAAATTTTTCCTCCAATATATTTGGCTGTTTCAATTTTGCGCGCACTTGACGAATAATTTGCAAATTAACCAGCTCTTTGGTCAACAATTTTCTGTTATTATTATTTTTTATTTTATTACTATTATTTTCTCTTATTTTACCTCATCATTTTATCTTATCTCAACTGTAGCAACAAGAAAAATTAATTATTAGAAAATTTGAGAGAGAAAGAGATACATGTATAGACTCTTATTTATTTATTAAAGAGCATTAATTTAGGAATTTATTCAATAATTTTAGCTTACGTAAAACGAAAATTGATTTCTAGGTTCGTCAAAAGATGTAATGTTTAGTATTTTGATAGTTTTAGTATTTTTGAAATAGTTTCTGCAATAAAAAAATTATATATAATAGTGAAATAATTATTATTTTAGATTATGACAATTTAATTAATTGCATTATTATATATGTCAATGTCTTCATAAATTATAATAATATAGATATTCTCGATATTGTAATATACACTGCAAGGTAATGCACATAAAATTTTACAAGCGGCAGATTGAATGTGACCTCTTTCGCGCATCTACTTGACACTGCAAATATTTACGCACATTGTGTAATCTATATCGCAGGTCGCTGCTGCAGAAAATATGTATAGCATACAATATGTATGTGAAGCACATATTGCGTGACTCGATAAGCCGTAGATTATTTACGATTTGATATCGGTTAAAATTACATCGGCTAAAATTATACTATGATTATAGTATATATATAATATTAGTAGATCGAAATTTTTACAACAATTTAAATATAAATCTATTAAGTTATATTAAACTTTAAAAAAATTTTTAAATATAATTAAAAATAATATTTTTAAATATTAGATTAGAATATTACTCTTAAATATTAACTAACTGTTTTATAATAGATTCGAAAATAATTTATAACATCAAAGATAAAAAAAGTCTGGGAATAAACTCTTTATTTTTCTAAATTATATTTTCCATTTTGAAAAGGCACACTAATTTCCTTTTATTAAATTAAAAAATGTTTTATAAAATTACTTATAGACTCAATTAGAGTATTATTGACCTTGACACAAAAAAGTCACAATCTTTTCCAGCGTAAATACAATCTTGAGAGAGGTCACACTTATAGTCTTTTTAACTTGTCAATCTTTTTTCAATTACGTCCGAGAGACCTCGAAGATAACTTGCCGTTCCATCGTAAGTTAAAATCTCAGCAGCTATATATGTCAAAGTCACGGCAGATCGTCGAAAATGAAATTTCGAAGGAACGTCGAAGTAATCACGAGAAATTAGCGGAGACGCCAAATGCCATTAAAATTCCACCTTCCACGTCATGAAGTAACTGTTTTTGACAGGTTTGCAGGAAATTTGAATCCTCGTGACTGGCGATTTTTGAGAAAGGAGTAATCTTTCTTCCATCGATGCTAGAATGGAAAAGTCTGAAGTAGTTTCTCTCGAGAAATAGAGAGAGAGAGAGAGAGAGAGAGAGAGAGAGAGAAGGGCAGAGTTTCGAATGATTAAATCACTATTTCGAGAATCCTTTCACCGAAGTTTCGTGAGAATTAATCGATGAGTGTCGTTGTCTGTAGAGACAGACTTGGCCTTGCATCGGCATAGATTAGGGAAATCTATCGGTGAGATCGAGAAAATTATCGTTCGTAGACTTTCTTTTTCCGCGCCACTTATCTTTGTTTTACACCTAAAAACGATGAATGCGTTATTAAATTTTAAAAGAGCTTAACTCTTAATAGCCATATTTACGCGAAAGAGTGCTTGCACTAATTAAGCTCGTGTTTGCGACAGAAATTTATCCACCATGGTTATTAATACTCCAATGGTCGGATAAACAAAAATATTAAAGAATTTAACTGAAGAGAAAAGATGTATAGAAAATACAGAATACACTAATTATACAACTTTGTCTTTTATTATATTGAAAAATAATTTTTTTCAAACTTATATATAACTTAACAAGCTTATATATAAGCCTCGTATTTATTTTTCAATGTTGCAAGATTTCACTTTATTTAAATCTATTTTTTCTCCAAAATTATTTTCAAAGTGCAATTCTTTTAATAATCACTTAAAACCAATTTTATATTTTGTTACTAATAATATACATAAAATTTAATTTTCCTTGTAACTTAAAATGGTATATTAATTTCTTCTTGCCTAATATATTACATTACATTATACTCCGAATGAGATGAAATTTGGCGTAGCCACAAAGTACAATGTAATTTTCGTTTCGCAATTTATACGAGAACAGTTTGTGTATGTATATGTGTGCATGATATGTCTGCCAAAATAATTTCAGAATCATCCGAGTGCTTCGAATTAAGTGCAGTTGTAATGCGACACTTTTGGTACCGCGTGCAATAATGAAAATATGAAACTGCTATATTAATCGGTCACAGATAATGTTCTGCGATAATTTTGAAACCATTATTTTAATCCATTACATGTTTCTTATTATGTAATCTCAATTAATTTCCTTTTTTCGAAAATATTGTTATACATGATAATTATCATTTTAATGATCTTTACATTATTTACATGTATATGTTGTATGATGTATTTATAGTTTACAACTTTACAATCTTAATTTTCTCAAAATTGTGGGATATAAACAAAATATTTCCGAGACCGAAAATCATATTCGGTAAAATAAAAAATTAGGGATAAGGAATAATTATTCCTTTTTTCATTGGGTTATATTTGATATACCTACAAGATTCTTATATATTTTCATTTCATAAATATAGATTAGCAATATTACAACAAGATTTCTGTGACACGAGATTGATTCTTTCGCTTACCCAAGATATCCGCTGATGAATTTATCTCATTTGTTGTTACAGGGGCTTCGGAAAACAGGGATATCAGTGCCAAGGTAAGAAGGTCAAGCTGATCTCTCATCGGTTCTACTACTTGCCCAAGATGTCATCATGAGGAGGAACTTGGGGCACATTTTGCTTATGTTTCAGTATGTAGTTTCGTCGTTCACAAGCGATGTCACGAATACGTGACCTTCACGTGCCCTGGAGCTGACAAAGGAGCCGATTCGGATGTGAGTATCGATATTATATGTAATGCCAATGTGCCTTCTTTCAATCCTTTTCCTATCACATCCTCCTTAGTGCGCAGACTATTTTGCTTTTCCTCTTTTTTGTCCTCAGCCAAGGATTCTCACTTGGAAGCTTTCGAGGAGAATAAAGTTTCGCGAGATAGATCTCGTAAATTGAGATCACGCACGAAACGTTTGCTATAAAAACTCAGTCTTACGCTTGATTGTATTTGATGAAGGTGCGCCATAAAATTTAATAATGATAAGTAACTTGTTAAATATGCTAGAATTTTTCTTATACATGTAAGAAAGAGCTTTCGCTTTATAAGTCTCATAATTTTCATACTTAATATTTTTACATGCATTAAAATAGAAAATTGAATAAAATAGAACATTCGAACAGACAGAATTTCAATTCTTTAACAATATAAATTGAATTTTTTTATCTACATTTCTTCTATCTTTTTAAGTGTTTTTTTTTCAATTTTCTGGTATTAATTTACGATCTTCTGAGATACAATGCTAATTCATCTCGTACACAAAAGATGCTTTAATCAAGATGTATGCTACGTTTCTGCATTAACAAACGTTCCGAAGCTGGGTCAGAAGTATAACAAAAGTCTCTTTATAGCAGAAATAGGTCACTCTCTGAGAGTGGCTTGAGGGCTGGTCAAGCTAGCCAGAAAAGTCAAATAACTGTTTGACACGTCAGCTATTAAAGTCTCATGCCTCGGGTAGGCACGTAGCTCATTATCGTGGTTTTTTGATCCACGAAAAGTCGAGGATGTTTCGTAAACAAGAAGAAACATCCATCCCTCAATATATCATATATTAATGTCATTTTAATAAAAAGATGTATCTAAAGCTCGCTGGTGGACTGTGATAGATGATGATGTAAAATGTATTCCTCCGTAAGATATTGCACGTTGAAATTTTTCGAAAACGAAAAAAGCTATTTCTTAATACTTTTGTAAAATCCATTACGCGTTAAATCAAGTCGTTTATCATCGTTTTCGAATGCCACGAGGATTTCAACTCAAGAGATTATTTAATTATCTCTGCCGTAATTTGTAATTGTCATTAATAAAAACACTAATTCTCTTCGCGCGAGATTTAATATAAAACTTTTTATGACAAAGTTATAAAAAGTATAAAGATATAATAAATTATAATTATAGATTATATAATTTTTGGCGAAAACATACAGAAATTATAAATTATTAAAAGAAAGCTAAACATTTTTCTTACAAATATATTCTTTTTGTTTCTTCAGTTTTCATTTATTCTTTTTAAATTTCGATAACTGTAGGCAAGATCTTGTAACGAAAAAAAAATTATTAATTGAGAGAAAAACAGGTCGGAATGGTGAAATGTTTGAGTTCTACATTTATGAAGCAACATTGTGCTATATTTGATTGACAGTAACAAAGTACGAAAAAGTGATTGACAGAGACACGCGACAGAGGAATTTTCATTACACGAATTTTGGCCCCAAAAGACAGTTAAGTTCCTGAATGTGGGAGAATGAAATAAATACGTGACAGCGGTTTCACAAGCGTGGCGCTCAGCTGAGCGTGCGCTAATTGGCTGCTGCACGGACGCCGCTAAACGCTTGTGAGACATCGTCCACTGTCCCATCGTCGCGCAAGGTGCTAAAGGGTTGGGGAAGCTGCGACGGCACGTATAATCAATATCGAGGTCATTTTCGAAGGCTGCGATAAATCGCGCGCCGTCACCTTGTAAATGGATAATAATAACGCATACGTAGTGCGCGTTAGTAATTCGTTCGGTCAATCTGCTCGTGAGAGAAGATAGCCTCTACTTAGCCCGACAGAAGCGGATTAATTAGGTCATAAAATCACCAAGAGTGCCTCTTGGCAATTACGGCTTTGCGTCTTTACATCATCATTTACAAGAACACCGGAGAACTTTGTTCCATTATAAACTGTAGCATTCTTATCTAAAGATATTAACGGGAATGAGGAGAGATTAATAGAGCTGTAAAATTACGAAGAGAAAGAGTGACCCCTCCTCGGAATTATGATGATATATTTGACAAGTTACTTAAAAATATATTGGATAAATTACCTTGTTACGAAGTCCAATTTATCTCTTTTAGACTTAAGAATTTCAAAGATAAAGAAAATTAATAAAGAAAATTCAACACTTTAATGAAAGATTTTTTGCTCATATAAATAAATAAATATTTTCTCTCTTATAACACTTGATTCATTTCCAGCACGTTTAAATAAAGTCCCTAACGTTTTTTTAATGAAAGAAAAATTAGTTTGTTAATAAATTGCTATTTTTGTCGAAATTATGTGTCACCTCTTGGTTTCTTCATCATCGAAATACGAAGGGGAAGATTTCTCATAAGGAGAAAGCAGTGAGATTTATTACGACACCCACCGGATAACTCGGTGCTGGTGTATCCTTTTTATCTCTTGGCTGACGGTACTCGCGTTAAAGGAGCAACGAGATCGGAAGGTTGAGAGATAAGAGGATAATGAAACAAGAGGATGCTTGGCTGGGGTAAAAAAGAGGGAATGGGGAGTACATCTGTACCTGGGGGCTAAGAGCTGTACGTTCTTTTATCACATTTGTCTCGCACAACGCTCACCGCCGATCGGCCTAAAGCCACCGTCCTTTCGCTTCGTTTAATCACGCTTGTAACCACGTCCGCGCGAAATTCGTTCACCGAAACGATTGGTCGATCAAATACATTGGGGTATTATTTGCTCGGGAAAGGCAAAGCGTTTCCGGCCCGAAGCAATTTCCACGTAGAAACAAAGTCACATCCTTTATGTATTCATCGATTTGAGAAGCCAATAAAATTACGATCAAATATATCTTTTCTTACACCAATAAATAACGAATACTTTAATATGTGATAGATCGTATTCTCTCAATTAGAATTGGAAATTTGACATTTTGACATTATCCTAACAATTTCAAAATATTACTTTAAAAAATAAAAAATGTTAATGTTAGAGAGAAGACAAACTGTTTATTAAGGGTCCGAAGTCAATGATTCCAAGCTGTTGCATTTCACGCTGAAGAAACGCGCGAATTTTTTAAACAAGATGCCAAAGGAAAGACTTCGACATTCGAGCCGTGAACGCTTTCCGCTTTGGAAAAAAATTTTACTTATCTCGAGGAATTTTCGATGAATTAATCGAGAGTCCCCGCTGTTTTCCTTTGATCCTGGACGCTGATTCCTCGTCCCACCTTCCCTCTGTGCTTCTGCGCTTCAAAGGTAATCCTTTCCGCGCCTATTGATCCGCGCGAATATCGGCGATCGTGGATTTCCCCGTAAAGCACATATAATGGCTTTTCATTGTTGGACGCGGACTGCGACAAAAAAGAAAAAAATGCACACGAGCGGGTACAGATAGCTTTTTTTCTTCTTTATTCTTCTGGCACGCATTTAACGAAGGCGAAATATAAAATCTGTATCATGCGTTCTTGTATTATGCGTTAAGCTTAAGTTTCAAATTTGAATATCATTGGCGCAACAACATTTCGCGATATTATTTTATGAATATCCGGTGATGCACGCATTTGAACTTTCCAAAATCAAACTTTTATTTAACGGAGAGATTTGATTTTTTCAGAAGTTGTTGTTATGTGACTATATGGAGTCCAATAATTAATTAATATGGAGATCGATAATTTGGATGAAGCAAACAAATTGGTGTTCTTATCGTTCAGTCATTGTCCGATAGGAGTTTGGAAAATTCGAAGGGAAGCATTTTTCTGTTTATAAACTTTAGCAAATATATTATTTTTGCATTATGATAATAAAGAAAATATATTAAAGTATATTAAAATTGCACAAAAATGATGATATATTTATTAAGCGGCTGTTTCATTTCGAAATTCACATCTAATTTATTTCTTTTTTTGTTTTTTATTTTCCTTAGAGGAAGAAGCAATTAGAAACAAACGATTCTGTGACCGTGTTCTAATTTCATATAACTAAGCGAGAGGCTATATTTCTCCGCTATAAAACGATTACGGTACAAGTACCATAACTATATCGTTGTTAACGATGATTGTTTACTGCTTCTCGGTCTTCAGTGACTAAGAACGACGATGTTGCTTCCGTTTGTAAGTCGCCGAACCAGCCGTGTAATTACAAGGTGATTACGCTACAATAATAAGCTACCGAGGATCGGATTAATCGAGTTTCGCACCAGCCGAACTTGTCGCTTCCGAGGTGACAGGAAAGCTTAATGCACGTTGTACGGACTCGCAGCAACCACCAAACCCTAGGCCGCGAAACTTCCTAGGAGCTTGTTTCGGTTTTCGCTCGAGCGGAAAGGAGCAGCAGCGGAAGCAGCTGCTACTGTCAGTGGTTTCGGAAAGTTGCCGGAACATTGGCCAAGCTGCTGTTTGATCCTGTTTCGGATGAGATTCGCCGATGCGATTTCCCAGTTTGAAGAATATTCAGTCTTTAAATTCCATTCTCGAGCACAACATTCAAGTTTTGTATAATAATAATAATTAATAGAGCATTAAAGAAACACATTTAATCATTAAATTTTAAAGAACTGGCGACGTTCAATATTTTCAAGATAATACATATATTATTTCACGGGAAGAACACATTATATCGGAAAATTTTCTTTCTATTGGTAAATTTTCAAACTTTAGGGGAGAATGATGGATATTTCGCAAAAGATTAAAGTTTTCGAGTTTAAAGGACGTTACTTTATCTTATGGAATTAAGTTACAACTTATTTCAATAAAGTTGAGTAAAGAAATTCTTGCGACTTTTAACCTTTCGATCCCAAAGGAAATTTCTTATTCTAATCGCATTAAGTATTCTCGTAATAAATATACGCTTGCGTAAGACAATGCTTAATTTTTATTCTTTTCTTGAAATATTTCATTTAATTTGATTGCTCTTTAAAAATTTTTAATTAATATATCCAGCATTATTATTAAATTTTTAATTTAGTACATCCAGTGTTGTTGATACATGTTTTCCAATACTTTTATCATCCTAAAAGCATAAACACTTGAATATACATTTGAATATACATTTTTTATTTCATCATCCTAAAAGTATAAACATTTAAATACATTTGAGATAGATATTTATTAATATATTGTAGTATTTGTGTGTCTATTATATATATTTTCAAGATTAAAAATTGAATGTCACACGTTTACAATTAAAATTTATCAAACAGGAAATAAATTATTTCTTCCTAACATTATTTTTATCAATATTGTTTATGAAATTATATATACATATTATTATATAAAAATTTATTTTGATGTAATCAGTTGCATAAGAATTTGAGAAATTTCTATTTACTTTTTAAACATCATATAATGTGTTTCGCTCATTAAAAGTCGAGAGAAGCACATCAAATTCAAGATAAATTCACAATAAAATAACTAAAGTAGAAGAAATCTTTCTGCTAAAAAACGTTTTGACCTCTTTAGACTCGCGGATAGAGATTAATCTTTCAGGCAGTTAGACTTGGCGTTATCCACTTTATCGGAAACGGCAGACTCGGCAAATCACCGATTTCGGAAATTTTTCATTCGCTACCATTTTACATTTTATTATGGTCAAATGTTGTTGCCCGAACAAATCGCGTTGTGCCTAACTCGACCGGGAAATCCAGCGATCTATGGCCGATCAATCCCTTACCAACCGTCTTACCCTTTTCCGAATCACCATCGTTCATCATCAGACCCGAGAGTCTGCGTGTGCGTGCACGGTGTAATGGTGTAATAACGCAGGACACGCGGACGAAGCACCATTTCAAGCAACACACCTACAACAGCCCCACCTTCTGTGACCACTGCGGTAGTCTTCTCTATGGTGTCATCCACCAGGGCATGAAGTGCCAAGGTATCATATGACGAGTGAAAAAGAAAAGTCGAGCGATACAATAACACAGCTCACTGTCAAGTAACACGCACTCTTATACGCGTTCATACGCGGGAAATACACTGAAATACACTGTATATACAGACACATGCTCGTACACGATGTACATACACTCGTTTTTTTTTTCTTTCTATTTTTTCTTGGCCCAGCGTGGTGTTGCTTTATCTTCGTATTGTATTCCTGTATATTGGGCTATCTCTCTCTCTCTCTCTCTCTCTCTCTCTCTCTCTCTCTCTCTCTCTCCTGTCTGTAAATAACACTCGTTGTAAATATTCTATAGCGCTAGACCTGTTCCACACCGTATTCTCGTTCGCCGTTATGGCGCGAAAATTGCAATTCCGATTAATCGCGTTAACAGGGATCGCGGATGAACGCGATAGTGGATGATCGTCTTCCTTATCCACGCGCGTTCTGACGTATCTGCTAATGCGATTAGCGGCGCTTTTAATTATATGCTATATCCCTCGGCGTGGATACGCACACCGATGTTGCACACTGCCGGCTGGCTTTTGTGCGCATTAACTCCGCGTCTCTCTTTCCGTCAGTTGGGACGCAATTCACACGTGGCTGCGTATGTGTGCGCGTGTGTGTTTTTGTGTGTATCACGTGTGGATAGTATTATTTTGCGTATAATGATGCACCGTCCTGCGACAAGAAAGGGCAAAGGGAGATGTAGAAGAGATATCTCGCAAACTATGAACACGAAGCTTTTGGCAAAAACAGAAATACACGAAAGAGCGAAAGATAGCCTGAAGAGAAATTTTCGAGTTTTGCGTTTTTCTATAATCTCATTCTTTCACTTTTTGCTCTTTCTTCTCCTTGTCCTCTGCAGAAGAAGGTACACTTTAACAATTTTACACAGCCCTTTTTTACACGTATCATTTTTTTCGTTGCCTCTCTCAGATCGTCTGTATAATATAAAAGAATTCTTTGCACTTTTAATATATTTTAGTTTAATATTCGGATTACTTACTCGAGACGATTGTGCTCGGTTCAAAAAGTTGGCGTTTCAAAAGAATGCCTTTTGTCGATAATTGGATGAACTCACCTTTGAGTATTTAGACCGGTAAAATCGACTGTTCTGGACGACACAGGAAAAAAGGGGGAAAAAAGAAAAAAAAAGAAAAAAGAAAAAAACGAGTTTGCTTTGACAATTAGTCCGCGAGCCGGTCTACATATCAAGAGCACATATGTAGCCGCTGATGTAACATCACTGAACATGAGTTATATTTTTTTCTTTGTCAAGTCCATTCCTATCCTCCCTCGCAACTTTAACGGAGCTACAAAAATAATTCTTGTACAATTACGGTACCAAAAATATATCCGACCAGTTTCTCTCTATCGACATTATGTCCCAATTAAATTTGCGTTTGTAAATAATATCTGTGCAATTGTTGTGTGATTTGTTCATGATCTGTGTGCGTGTGTGTATGTATGTGTGCGTATAATGTATATATGTTGGACGCGGAAAGTTTTATATATGCCTAAGAAGGAAAACAAGTAGAAATCAGATTTTACGAATAATTTACACATATTACATATATAACATTTTATATTAAAAAATATAATATTTTACAATATGTGTTTTATATTTATAAAAGATTAAGAAAATATTTCAAAACTATAATAATTATTTGTACTTTTGAATAATTATATAAATATTATCGAAAATATTTGATATATTTTGTAATTTTTATGAATTAAAAAGAATGTGATGCTTACTGTGTTTTTCTTAGGCGTGTATAGACTTTTGACATTGGATCTTTTTTACGATTATATATATCTTTTTCACTGTTATCACAAGTTTTCTGCCGTTGCACTCCAACCGCACAAAAGTCGTCCACTTTTTCGCTGTATTTGTTCGATGTGATTCTCGTTGTATTTTCTCGATGTGATTCTTCGATGTACTTCTACGAATCATTGACGTAATCTTCCGTTTTTGTCGTCTATCTCTTTCTCCTTTTTGTGTATGCGATTGTTCTAAAAGTCATTTCACGTGTGCAATTCACAATTTCTTACTTTTTGTTCACGTTCTTCAGAGATCTTTGTTTTCCTGCAGTTTACGACATTTTTGTGTACCTTTTTCTAATATATTCGTTTAAATTCAACTCAGTGAATCATCGATTTCTTTATCCGCGATTTATCGGCGCTTTAATTCCAAACTCGATCGTTTGTAACAAGAATTCGCAACGTACGCTCAGCTTCGTTTATCTCATTAAAAAGACAATCTACCATTCGCAAATTCAATTTATTACTCGTTTGTGAAAAATATCTCGCGATATTTTCCTCTCGTACTAACAATAATAGACATAATGGCACATTGACGTGCGCAAAACTTTTTAATTTTCATTTATTATTCATTTAAGAGCGAAAATCTATCGATAATCTTCCTATTTTACGGTTCTTTCATCCGAGAGATATAAAGAAGCGATGAGATAATTAAATACACGTGTAATATAAAGCAAAAATAGAATTTATGTAAAAGAGATCGTAAGAGGCAGTTATGGCGTATATTTCTAATTTTTTTCTCTATACAGATTATTTTACGCGATTTCCTTTTATATTCTTCGAATACGTTTATCATTTCTTCATCGTGTCGAGTAAAGACATCGCGTTCCGCTAATCATTTTGCGACGATCAATGGCACGCAAGCCGCAATTTCACACGCCATCGATGCAACGATAAAGGTGACATAGTTAACTTGGCCGTCAAGAGACGCGCGCGCTTAAAAGAGCGCGTTTCGCGATAGATGGTTCGATTAGATTCGATTGAGATTAGCATAAGCGTGAGGACGAATTTGCACGCTCGGTCGTTCAACCGTCGGTGTAATCATCCATTGCTTCCGTCGAAAAAAGATACGGAAAGGAAAGAAAACGGGTCGAAAATATAGATATTGGCACAGTTCCAATATGCATTGTACCGTTTAATTTCTTCATTTCTGGCTGGCTAGATTTCCAGATTCTTAGTAACGTTCCATATGTATTGTCGCTCTTATTGTCGTCCTCGAGAGAAAGGTGAGAACAATGGCTTTTCTGTAAGTCTCTCTTAAGGGCGCTCACGTCCCATATTTTTGCTCTCTTTCACTGGGATTTTGGAGATCGCTGAAAGTGCTCGCGTTCACGATTGGACTCTTGACAATCTTTCTGTCGCGAAAATTTCGACATTATACTCTCCGATCGCATTACCAATCAGAGAAACTTTCACATCGATCTGTTCAGATTTGTCTTGTAGTTGCATAAGGGATTCATATATCTAACATATTAAATATACTTGTATTTCTTTGCATAACTAATGTATTGTAAAGAATAAATGGACGCAGAACACACGCACATTTGTTGTATTTTTTATCAGATTTGCATAATAAATTATTTATAAATGATTATAAATATGAAAATAATGAATGTAAAAATAAGCACAAGAGTATGCGTGAAAATGAGATATTCGATAAAAATACTGTGCGCGTGAGAAAACTTTATTATTCGAGAAAATATCATTATTTTTCATATTATACAGATTGATATTATACACATTTTGTTTGCCAGATTTGGAAATGTATGATTCATGCAACTTTAACTTTACGCGGGTGAGGTCGATTAAAGAGCGCAAAGTTCCTAATGAAGTTAGAAAGCAGTTGTAGCGTGTACATTCGCTATTTACATCACACTCCCATTCATTCAATTCTGTGGTTTATAATTTTAAAACGCTATCATTCCCAACTGTCTCGTTATTTGATTAATTTTGTGGAAACATATGTATGCTCCATTCTATCAAGCAATTTATCGCATTATATAATGACAAAGATAATGTGAATTATATAAATTCCACCTTCTAGAGCTTCATGCTTTTATTTTTGAACCTTTATTTTTGATTTTGTTTAGGATTCGCGAGCAAAGGAAAAAAAAGGATGAAAGGTATAGTTATAGGGAAGGTACGCAGTTGCGTCTAGGTGTTCGCGTCAGATGCACTCGTAGAACCATGACAAAGGTCTAGTCTTTTACGGAAAATACTGATAAAGAGAGGCTGTCTTTGCAAAGACGACCTGACGCTTAAGATGTGAAGTGGAAGAGGGGAAAAGGAAAAGGGTCTAAAAGACTGGTCTGGAAATTAATTAGATGGTTGAGTTCGGAAGAAAAGCCTAGAGAGAAGGAAGCCTAGCGTTGCACAAGGATTCTTTGAACATCGCGAGAAAAGGAGAGACTCTCTGCTACCTAAGATGCCTTCGAACAGATGCTATTCAATTAAATCTTGTAGGTATTACTTTGAGGAATTTAGTTTGACAGCTTACAAGAATGTTTGTGTCTTCGATAGTATTTCTATTCTTCGTACCATTTCCGCTTTATAAGGGAAATTATAGAAAAACTCATTCGATGGTGGAATAAAAAAATAATAATTTACATTTGCTTTTTTGAAAAAAAAAAATAAGCAAAGTGTTATTTAATTTAAATTTATTTATTTAAGTTATCGATCGTTTTGTGAATAGTGGGTACTCTTCGAGAATCACAGAGAGTCATGTGTAAGTAATCTCATTCTCGATAAAAATTATTTTAAAAGTCGGAAGCTTTTCTCTCTCTTTCTTTCTTTTTATTCCTTTTTCTTCTCTTCTTCTTTTTAGTTTTGATATCGCGAGATGTAATAGAATCGTGAGTAATTGATCAAGATTTTATAGATTTTATCATCGACAGATATTCGCGCAGTTAGCAATGCATTTTTCCGCTGACGTTCTTTTGAGCACTTTGAGTGAAAGCCTTTCCTACGTCAGGTCTAAGAATAACGCCGCTATTGACCATACTCGACTCGATAATAACTGATGATACTCTGCCCACGTTCAAGTCTCGTGAAACGGATTTTTATAGTCTTTTATGCGAAGGAAAATATTCATAGTAACGACCGTAAATTTCCAATCGACCATCGTGTGCAATCTCGAACTGCAGCGCAACCTTTCAAGACTTTACAAGTGACAT